AGGTGGGGTGAGGGAGAAGAAGATGAATGGAGGGGTCTCACGTTAGGTTAATAGGAAATTTTCTTTTTTTCTTTTTTGCTATGTTTATTTTTTGTTAATTACATTTATCAGATTTTTACGTACAATTTATAGGTGTCATTTTCTTACTGGTTAATTTGACTAGCCATTGGTGAGTGTAACTCACGCATATGGTCTGTTGGACTCGGGTGTTCATGAGGCTTATTTTTTACGGACTATAAGTGTCAAAATGATAAAAGGGTCTGTTGAGGTGCTTGTTTGATCGTTGAGGACAACTTAAAGGGGCGGTTTATGTATTTCGCCTTAAAAATAATGATAATATATTTTTAAAAATACTAAAAGTTTTATTAGCTTGTTATTACACAGTGTAATCACCACCAATTCTCACCTCACTTGAAAATGGAAGAGTGTGATTACACCCCTTCAATCATACTCAATTTCATGTTGACCAAGTAATTACTTGGCCAGACAACATGCCAAACTGTATAATTACACCCAAATCCAATTCCTAGGTGGTTTTCCAAACATGTTCTACATGTTTTGAGTAAATGATGCAAACATTTACAAAGTCTTAACCTATCATTAGAGATTTTCAGTAATTATGATTTCTTTACTACAATTTGAAAGATTGTGTCTCGGATAAGTTTTTGAGTTAAAAGTTGATACAATTTACATGTGATATGATCTGAGAATTGAGTTACATTTTTCTGTTGAGTTTGGATGATTTCAAATTTTGGATAATTATAAAGGATTTCTAAGCAAACTTCAATAGTCAGAGTCAATCCCACATCATTCAGATTTAAGACTGAATGTCTGCCAGTTTGATTTTAAACTGAATATCTCCTAGCTTGCCCCGGTTAGGTAGCATGCGTTGATACAAGTTACCAACGGATTAAGAAGTTTAGTTGGAAGCTTATCTATGTTATATGTATGTTACATGTGAGACTATCACCTCTATCTCCTAGATATTTCTTGTGTCCCTTGTCCAAATATGGAACTGGATTACCATTTAAAAATAATAACGCTAAAATTAATTTAAAGAAGATCTGTTCATATAGTTCTACATGCCTATAGATAACTAACAGTTAGAGCTTAACTATATCCATCTTGCTAGTCAGCTCCTTCACTCTGCCTTGCCACATTCAGGAGGATATAATAATCACATGAAAGCATCACCAAATGATCAACTAGAATTTCAGCGTCTGTGTAATCAAAAAATGCCCTGGACTAGTTTAGGTGAACAACCTTGAATTTTGTACTGAGCTTGTACAAAGACATCCAATACGCTACCAGTTTGCAGCTCAAGAAATACTGATTCAACAATAGGCGGAGACCATGGATCTATGCAAAGAACAAAATGGTAAATAAAGAAAAACTCAAACACCAGGACCCGAGCAATCCTCAATAGAAAAGTAACATCTTTTGACATACATATGAAGCAATCAATGATTTCTCCGACTGAGTTGCCACGCAAACTGATCGAGAGCTACCATTGCACGGCATGCTGAACCAATCGAGCCATCATATCTGTATGAACAAATAGTAAATTCATGGTTCCAAATCTCAATTTCAAGTAAGCATGTTTAAGCATAATCACAAAAAAGTCTGCAGGCTGCATGTGTTCTGTTTAAATGTGGAATTACATACTTTAACAGCAAACTCTGATTTTGCTACCTTATCTAACTGGATACATAAAATCCTCATTTACAAAGGTCTCTGTGCATTGAACCCAATAGTTAACAGACTCAAACTAATGTAGATAGACAAAGAGGTTCATGTGTCCCACAGTAAAAAGAGGGTCAAAGATGGTCTTCTGAGAGACCTTCACTGCCAAACTCAACCCTAAACCAGAGAAGATGTACACGGTAAAACTCAAACATGACTACAGAAGGAAAGAATAAGCTTCATCAGAGTCCCGCTAATGTACGAAGAAAGAGGAATTTTTTCCTTTTAGACAAGTAGAAAGAGGGATATAAACTTACAACAAGGCAACAAAATAATAGAAGCTTTGGGCAGATTTTGTAGGGGTTTCTTTTTTTTTTTTTTTATTTGCACCGGGTGTCCGAGTCTCTAAGAGCCCCGACTAATCCCGGGGGTGCACAGGCCCTCGGCAAGGAGTTTCCCGCAAGTGCACCACGGTTAATTCAGGTTTTACCCAGTCCGATGACCCTCAGAAATTGTTTGCACCTAGTGGGTTTCGAACTTGAGACCTTGAAAGGGGGCAAACCCCAAGGCTCAAGTCTATTGCCACCAGGCCAATCCCTGAGGGTTATTTTGTAGGGGTTTCTTGATTAAAGCAATTAACAATTATAACTCTATGTAGAGTTGTGAACCAAGTGAGGATGGAGAAACCATTGTGAGAATTTACATACTCATATATGGTTTTGGGGAAGGGGGTATAAGACAAATTTCTTTGTAGATTCAACAAAAGAGCTAGCTTCCAATAAATGAAAATCTGAAGTGCTGAGAGAGATTAAAGAAGGAAAAAGTTGGAATATACATATGAGAGAAGGTCCAAAAAGTGATTCTCTGAAGACCTTAATTTAGGAAATCTTGAATGAATTCGAGAAAAGATCAACAAAGAACTCTGAAGGAATTTACAGGAATCTTAACAATCAACAAAGGAATTTGATGGAATTTTTCTTGTTATTAATAAAAGCATTTCTTCATATTTTAGTAGTTCCTAAAAAGAAAGATTGACATTAATTGACAAGTATGTTCTTTCCATGCATCAAATCTAAAGAGTTGTGGTATGTTTCAAAGCAATTTGGTTAGTCACTACACCATAGACTGACTAAAGCTAAGAGGAGAAAGGGAGATGACTCTAGTCGTTGAGTACCCCAGAGAATGGTGGGTGTAGATTGGCCAACTGTATACCTAAGTAAGGAAACACTTACAATCCAATCAAGAGGAACGCTCCGGTGTGCATCAGAATAGCACCTTCACCAGCAGGTTTTGAAGTACTCATGCATCTTGCACTGAACCAACTCTCATGAATTGTCGTTACAAGATCTGTCAACAAAATGGCAAAACTAGCTTTTAGGTAGTGTTTACTTCCAAAAACAAACCAGTTGTTCTGGTCTTAGTGATCCTTTCTAAAGAATAGCAATTACAACGAGCATAAACAAGTACAGAGGCATCACAGTTTGTGTTTGCTCTGCATTATTGACTGAGTGCACAAACAACGCTGTCAAACGCTTTTTTCTTTCTCTTTTTTTTTTTTGTTTGATGAAATAAGTTGTTTCATTGTAAGTATCAAGAAGATGCAAATTTATAAGAAGGATCAATGTTGGCTCCATTACAATAAACCTACCCAGGGAGCTAACCAAAATAATCAAAAGTAGAAAGGGACTAAATTAATTTTTTTTTTTAAATGACGCTGTCAAACCCTAGAAGCAGCCCAACCACCCAGAAAAACTTTTATATGGAAAAGATAGATATATTGCATTTACTTCTCAATATCACATAGGTGGGAGAGGCAAAGTACGAACATGACTGTAAGTACCACATCACTATCTTCTACATATTCCAACCAAAGTGCCAGATCCAAGACATACAGTTCAGATGACGGGCTGAAAAATAACATAGTTCCCGAAATCCAAAGTTCAAGCATGATATATTTTTATTTGTAAACAGCAATCAACTCACATTGATTCTGTCCAATGAAGAAGCTCTCCGTCTGCAGTTTGTTTCTCTTGACGAAACTGACAAGTTCACACATTTCAGTTGGATCTCCCTTTATGCCCTCTTGCTCTGCACTACAGGCATAAACATTAGGCTTTAAAACTACACCTTTTTCCATAAGGGAAAAGCAAAGCGAAAAAGAAAAATGTTTTGCACATATTGGCTACTATAAAGTCTCCAAAAAGAAATTTCTTTTGCTTCTTATCTCATCATCTATTGCCCCATACGGAAGTAACTCGAGTAAGTAAAGTTTCTTGTGTTACTTCACAACTAAAGCATGACTGCTGGTTGTTTTTGCACTGCAGCTATATATGTGGGAAGCTGAGAGAACCTTCCTAGAAATGCAGAGCACCATACTTGGTCTATATTGGAGTACTTGTGATGTTCATATATGTACAGACGATTCAATGAACTTTGTAAAAAGCATCTTTTTGCTAGAGCAATCAATCCTCGTTTACAAAGCAAATACTGGGTCTTCCCCTTTTTCCGATAAGCATATATTTACTAATCGAAAAGCACAAGTAGAACACCAGTACTTATTTCACCAACTCAAGAAAATGACACTTGAACTTCAACTTTTCAGTATTTTGTTGTGGATACCCATAAAGCAAAATCTTTAACCATGTGTAGCCTTCCACTATAAGAGCAAGGAGAATGGTTGGACAGTCTTCTGTTTTATGTTTCTCAGGTTTATAAGTTTATTTGGCAGCTAAAATTACACTAAAATCTGAAGTCACACCAAAATGAAAGGCCTGGGAATAAGGAGGAAAGTTTCTTATACTGAAGCGAAAAAGATCATTTTGCCCTATAGTAAAATAAGATAAAAGACTGCACCCGAGTGTGTGGTCTACTGGTCAATAAAGTGGGTTGAGAACCATGAGATCTCAGGTTCAAAATCCAGCGCAGGCAAAAACACTAGGTGATTTCTTCCCACTGTCCAAGCGTTGGTGGATAGAGTTACGGGGTACCTGTGATGGTGGGAGGTAGCAGGTACCTGGAGGAATTAGTCGAGGTACGGAAAAGCTGGCCCGAACATCACGGTTATCAAAAAATACAAAATAAATAAAAGATAAAAGATCACTTTTATCAGAAAAGATCATTTTCATTATAGTAAAACAAGATAAAAGATCACTAATATCAAAGTACTGGTGGTATTTGAGGGAAAAGGGTTTTGATCAACTTCCTGAACTTTTATCTTTTTTGATGCGGCCAACTTTCTGAACTTATTATCGCCATAAAAAATTCCTACTAGAAAAAAAGGCAATTGCATTGTTCAAAATAACCAGTTAGCTATCTCAAACGCACATTAACAGAAAAAGGTAGGAGCTTTAAATGGTTTTTCCACATTTTCACTTACATGGTAGATATCAGACGAGAAGGGCCATTGGGGTCGTAGTTTAACAGCAAAGCAGATTTTAATGGTTGACCTGAAAGAGGTCAGCTAACTATACATGTTAAAGTTAAACAAGAATAGATAAACTTCTTCAGAAGTGTTACATTCACTGACCTGAACCAACATTGCTCGAAATCCATTTCTCCCAGATTTTATGCACAAATGCCCAGTCCATTTATATTCTTCTGCCTACAACAAGCACACTGCAATAGAGGGACAAAAAGGAAGGAAAAGGTGTTTACAATTCAATCTCAATGGTTAATTTTCATAAGAATTTGCAGATAACAGAAACAAATGGAAGCAATTCACCATCAAAATACACATACATATAGAGAGAGAGGTTCTCGGAGGAATTTCATCAAACAGATGACGGGCAGAAACAACATTTTCTTAGTATTGAAAGTGAAAAGCCAAACTAATTTCAGAGTGAAAAACAAATTGCACCTGCTCGAGACTTGGATATGGATTAGCAGCTTCAGTAAAACACCAAAAATAGCTACGAAGGGGAAATGACAAAAAAAAAAAAAAAATGATATACGCAGCAGACTGAGCAGAGAGGTGAATTATAGGACTTGTAATTGGGCCGAAATGAGAACTCTGCTACAGCGTCTTGGGAAAGCAAATGGGGGTGCTGTCTTGGGGTCAAGAATGCACTGTTCATACTAAACGTGTTAATCTGGCCGGGCTCGCCCGTTCACAGCTCGGATCAGCCCGGTACTGTAGCGTTTGGGGGCGTTGGAACGGGTCGAAAAGTTTCTGGATACCAGTGCCCCATAAGCCGCTAAGCCCGATAACCCGTTAACAGATTTTTAACGGGCTACCGCACGGTTTCCATTAGAAAAATTTATTTTTAAAATTTTTTGGACCGTTGCCAACGGTCAAATTCAAAAATGACCGTTGGCCAACGGCCCTTTTCTTTGCAGAAATGGTCATTTCGGCCTAGCCCCTTTAGAAAATAGCCCCCACCCCTAATATTTGATAAATTATAATTTTAACCTTTTAAAAACTATAAATAGCCCCTCTTTCTTCTTTATTTTTCCTCACAATTCACTCTCTTACTACTCTAATTCTCTCTCAATTCTCTCTTGATAATATTTATTATTATTCTTAAATTCTCAATTACTTATTATGTCAAGTTTCATCAAATATTTAGTTTAGCACTTACAAAATTATTGTTATCAAATCTCAAGTATTGAAGTGAAGTGTGGCATCAAGTATCAACTATCAAATATCGGTCTATCAATTGAAGTTTAATTTTTGATATCAAATTTATTGCCACATCTGAAATCCCGGTACACTCGTTCCATTTCTTTCTCTTCTTTGGTGTATATTTTTATTTTATTATTTAGAATTATAAATTTAATTTCTTAAAATAATTTACATAATGGATATATTAAGAGTAGCAAAAAAGTGTGTACTAGTAGAGGTGGTAGTAAGAAAACTTCCAAAAGATCAAGAGTTGATGTTGGTTCTTCTAGTAGCTTACACATATTTCTGAAAGTTCACCTGAAAATGTAAATGTAGATTATGGGCGACTTCAAGAAAATTATGGTATAGATGATGATTTAGATGATATTCAATCACCTGTAATCTTGAAACACCACCAGCTACACCTGGTAATGCTAGTCAAACTCAAAATGTTAGGGGTGGAGATTGTGGTAATACAAGTAGGCCTCCCCTACCTATTAAGAAGAATCGAAGATTAGGAAGTAAGTGTTGGAATTTTTTTGAAAGACTAGAAGAAGATAAAAATTATGTAAGATGTAAAATTTGTGAGGATGTTTATAAACATAAGCCTGGTAAGGGAGGGGGAACGGGTAAACTTCGTAGGCACATGGTAGAGCTCCACCCTCTTGATTGGGGAGTAGATGAGGAAGAAGGGCAACAAAAACTTAACTCGGGTACTGGGGGTTAATGGGTAAATACGATATTAAAAAAGATCGGGAAGAATTAGCTAAAAAGATTGTTTTAGGTTGTTTACCTTTTAATTTTACTTCTTCACCATATCTTGTTACTTATATTCAAAGAATTTATAACCTTTTGTTTAAAGGTATTCTTAGATGTACTTGTAGAGCTGATATCTTTAGGCTTTTTGGACAATATTAGACATGTTACGTTATTTGTTCGCCAGTCTTTCTTGTATAGTTTCTCTTACTTCTGATATTGGTCGCGCAGTAAATGGAAATGATTATTTGACTGTTACATGCCATTGGATAGATGATTTTTTTGTATGCAAAAACATATCATTGCTTTTAAATATGATAAAGATCAAAGTCATACTGGTGCATTTATAAGTAATACTATCCATGAAGTTGCTATATTTTATAATCTTGCAGAAAAAGTTTTGTGTATGTCATTTGATAATGCCTCTAACAAACAATGTTGCTATTACAATATTAAAATTGCATCTACACCCATCACTTCCTGAAATATTTCATGTTAGATGTGCATGTCATATTTATAACTTGATTGTGAAGAGTGGCCTTGAATTATTTAGAGATGATATCACTTTAGTTAGAAGAGCTGTTGGTGTAATTCAAGGAAATAATAGAAGTGCAAGATTAAATGCATTTAAGGAAAAATATGTACACTATGAACTAAAACCAAGACTCATGCCCGAAGAAATAGTTATTAGGTGGAATTATACTTATTTATTCTTAAGATGTTATTATAAATATAGAATGCCTATAACTGAAGTTGCTAATTCTCATTGTACCGATCCTAGCCGTTTGTTAACATCTAGAACTTGGGATGTCATCGAAGATGTAGTAAAAAATTTACAAAAATTTTATGTGGCTACACTTGAGTTTTCTGGAGCTTATTATCCTACTATTGCATATGGTTTACTTCATATTGCTGAAATTTCTCTTTTACTGCATAAGTTGAAGAAGAAAGAAGGATATACTTTTGTTGTTGAATCTATGCTAGATAAGTTTAAAAAATATTTCTACCCAATTCCCCCCTATTTACCTAATTGGTGTTAATTTAAACCCTTCTATCAAAATGGCCACTTGTCGCCAATTAATCAGTGCTTTATATACTTATATGGATATTGGACCAACTGAAACTCCTGATTTTGACACTTGTATTTCTGATCTACACAAACATTTATAAAATTTATATAATTATTATGCTAACATTGTTGATGCTTCTTCTGTTGTAGATGCAAATATTCCTTCAAGTTCAGATTCAATATCTGGGACCGGTGCTTTGGATATAATGATGGTGTTGAAGATTATTTGATTTGGTCTACACTAGGAGAGCATCAACAAACCAGTAGTAGGAATATTGATGAACTCCAATTCTACTTGCAAAAGTCACCAGAGCCCCGCACAAAAGAATTTCTACCGCTAGGTTGGTGGAGGAGCAACTCAAATCAATTTCCTGTTCTTTTGGCCATGGCTCGAGACGTGCTAAATGTGCCGATTTCAATAGTCGCATCAGAGAGCGCATTTGGCCAAGCAAGGCAGCAACTAGGAGATACCCGTCATTCATTGGGCAGCAACGCTTTGAAAATTCTAGAGTGCTTCAGAGATTGGACAAGATCAGAACGGCGAAATCAAGGGCGTGACGAGGTAGATGAAGCGGAGGACCAAGAAATTGGAGATATAATGGTTTATGGTTCTGATTCAACCAATGTCGGAAACCAAGAACCTCATGTTGACATGGATGAACTTACAAAATTGGGCCGGGTATACAATTGGGCCGGGTATCTCTCTCCTCGTTACTGTTAGGGTTCATCCCTCTTTCATTTCTTCCACAAAATGTGAGGTAATAACTCACATTAACATAGTATGAGAGCCTAAAATCAGTCGATTTTGGCTCCGCTCTTCTCATCAATAATAGTTTTACCGGATTCCACCGAAGATTTTGTTCCGTCAAAGTTTTTGATATTTTCATTTTTGTTGGGTATTCGCTGATTTTTGGATTTTTCAGTGCTTGTTTTGCGATTTCTGCGGTGTTTCTTCAACGTGTTTGGGTTAATATACAGTAGTGGTGGGGTTTTGCTCGATCGATGGACAGTTGCATATTGTCGCTGGTTTTCTCAACAAATCTTATCACAACAATATTGATCGAATTTGTTCTACTTAGGATTTATCTATAAACTTTACAGTTCTAGGGTTTTCATTATGGGTAATCCTGAAGTAAGTTCGTCTTCTACGATTGGGGTTTTGATGACTTCACTATCCCTATCTCTCATCCCTTTTATGTACATCCCTCGGATAGTCCGAGTACTCATCTGGTGTCTCCCCCCTTTGATGGAACTTGTTTTGTCAATTGGCGTAAAAATATGTTGACTGCACTTTTTGCAAAAAATAAGCTAGGTCTCATTACTGGTAGAATATCCAAGCCGCAATTTGATTCACCTTACTATAAATTTTGTGAAAGATGTAATGACATGGTCATTGCATGGATAACTAATTCATTGTATAGGGACATAGCTAATAGTGTCATGGGTTTTGATACTGCTAAGGACATCTGTACTGATATAAATGAAAGATTTGGTACTTCCAATGATTCCAAATATATCCAGGTGCAAAGAGAAGTTAGTGCAGCCTCCCAAGGATCCTTAGATATTTCAACTTACTTCACTAAATTGAGAGGTCTTTGGGATGAACTTACCACTGCTTATATTAGACTTGTGTGTTCTTGTGGTGCATTACCTAAGTTCATTGAGGAGCAGAAGATATATCAGTTCCTTAGTGGTTTAAATGAATCTTACTCCACCTGTAAAAGCAATATTCTGATGATGGCATCCCTTCCTTCCTTGAGTAAAGCATACTCTATGCTTCAACATGATGAAAAACAGAAAGAGACTTATGCTCTCATTCCCAGATTTTCAAATGATTCTATCTCCTTTACTATTGCAACTTTCCCCATCAGCAGCCTTAAAGGTTTCAACTAGAGGGTTCATTTTGAGTCAAAGAAACTTCTTGGTCATTCTCCTATTGTTGTATGCAAATACTGCAAGAAACCTGGGCACGTCATTAATAAATGCTACGGGCTACATGGTTTTCCATCAGATTTCAAGTTTACAAAGAGTAGGAGATCTGCAGCCTGTGTTCAGTCTGAAAGTCCTGGTCCAAGTTCTAATTTTCTCAATCCTAGTCCTTCTGAAGCTGCTGCCCATGGATTTTCCAAGGAACATTATCAACATCTTATGACCTTGCTTTAGCATGTCAACATTGCTACTCCTACTTCCCATCTTGACAGCATTGCTACTGACAACACTAGATTTTCTAACTTTGCAGGTGTGTACAACCACCCTGAGATCCATTCTGCTGCATTTCATGCATCCGTAGTGTCAAATTTAGGTAGAAATCCTTGGATCATTAACTATGGTGCTATAAACCATATGACACCCCACAAACATCTTCTTCACAATCTCAAACCTTTAACCACACCTTTCCTAATAACCTTACCTAATGTATATAAGGTAAAAGTCGTATCTATTGGGTCCTTAATTCTCAGTCCTGATGTGACATTACACAATGTCCTCTTAGTTCCATCTTTTCATTTCAATTTGATTTCTGTGCACAAATTACTTCTACAGTTCACATGCATTGCAACTTTCACTATTTCCAATTGTATTTTATAGGGCCCTTCTCTGAGGAGGCCTCTGGTAATTATAGCCCGTTTGGCCAAGCTGCAAAAATCAACTTATTTTGAGAAGTGCTTTTTTTTAAAAGT